TCCTTCTCCTTCTCCTCCTTCTTCTTCTTCTTCTTCTTCTTCTTCTTCTTCTTCTTCTTCTTCTTCTTCTTCTTCTTCTTCTTCTTCTTCTTCTTCTTCTCTTCTTCTTCTTCTTCTTCCTCCCCCTCCCCCTCCCCCTCCCCCCTACCCCTACCCCTATCCCCACCCCCATCCCCCTCCTCCTCCTCCTCCTCCTCCTCCTCCTCCTCCTCCTCCTCCTCCTCCTCCACCTCCTCCACCTCCTCCACCTCCTCCACCTCCTCCACCTCCTCCACCACCTCCACCCCCTCCCTCTCCTCACCTGTCTCGAGGGCGAGGACGTTCTGCAGCGCGAGAGACGCCTTGGTGGCCGCTCCCTTCGCCCGGTCGCGGCTGTCCCGGTACAACTGCAGCTGCAACACGTCTGCAACGGAGAGGCAATGCTGATTAGGGTCAAAGAGAGACAAATAAGAATAATAAATAAAAAGATAATAATAATGATAATAAATAAACAAATACATAAAAACACCTTAAACAAACAAGCAAGAAGAATTAAGAAGGTCACGATGCAATGCATTATGCAACTATAGACAACAACAATAAACGAACAAAAATAGGGTACAAGAAGGTCACATCATCAGACGTTTGCAACTACAGAGACGAAAATAACAACAAAAACAAACAAATACATAACAATTGGTCACATAATCAAACGCGCAACAATAAAAAAAAAAAAAAACTGGGTACATGAAGATTACATAAATAAGCGTATGTAACAACACGAACAATAACAACAAACAAATAAACAATAAACTGGGCACATGAAGGTCACAACAACAACAAACAAAAACAAGAGACGAGGTCACATAAACGTATGCAACAACAACAACACCAAACAAACACAGGAGGCAAGAAGGCCTTGCAAATCAGACCTGGGCAACGGTGACTCACGCTGGCTTTTAATAACTCGGATTAAAAAGCTTAAATCAAAAGCTTAAATTGACTTGGATTATTCATCGTGTGTGATCCACTGACGTCGAGAATATTATCCGATATTAGCGTGCGCGTGTGTGCTTGCGTGCGTGCGTTCGTGCGTTGTGTGCGCGTATGCGTGTGTGTGTATTTATACTCAAGCGTATGCGTATGTGCATGTCTCTCAACAACCGTTCCCCCCTACACACAGCCCCTCCCCCTTCTTAAACACCTCCTTCCCCCCCAACCCCTCACCCCACCCATCCCCCCTCACCCCCCTGTCAACCGCAATAGGCCTACACTTCCGCTCCTGCATTATGCAACGCCAGACGCCCCCCCGGAGAGGACTTACGGCGACGGAACACTTAGCGCCGGACAGACAGGCTTTTAGAAACCGGCGCTGGCTCCCTCTCGAGGCTGGGGGGGGGCGGTTCCTTGTTCTGGTCTGTTGTCTTGTGTTATGGTGTGTCTGTGGTGTTCTGTTATGTTGTCTTGTGCTATGGTCTGTCTGTTCTGTTGTCTTGTGTTATGGTGTTTCTGTGGAGTTCTGTTATGTTGTCTTTTCTTATGGTGTCTGTTGTCTTGTGTTCTGTTGTCTATTCTTATTGTGTGTCTGTGATGTTCTGTTCTGTTGTCTTGTGTCTGTGGTGTTTTGTCCTGTGCGTGTCTGTGTGTCTACCTGCCAGACTATCTCCCTCTCTCCATTTTCTCCCATCAATCACGAATGAACAAACTTATCTATTTTTTTTCAGTGAACTCCATCAAACGTAATGTTCAGATCTGTTGTTCATTATGATAACGTAAGTGTGATTGAAAGCTAAAAAATCACACATCAGTTACAAAATAATATTTAATTACATGACTGCATCGGGTAAAATAAAAGATAGGTAGGCATACAAACAGACAGACATACACACACACACACATACACACACATACACATAAACACACACACACACACACAGAGAGAGAGAGAGAGAGAGAGAGAGAGAGAGAGAGAGAAAGAAGAAAAAGAAAGAAAGAGAAAGAGAGAGAGAGAAAAAAAAAAACAAAGAGAGAGACCCAAGGAAGAAAAAACAAAACAGATCAGCCCCTTCAATTGCAGCCTCGCCTATTACGTTGCTCGTTGCAATCACCCAATCAAGAAGTAATTGCAACTGCCAAATAAAGGGCCTGTTTTCATGCATATTTACTGGTTTCTTGCTAACTAGGCCTATTAGCGAGATTTTCTCAAGGGTGGAGGTGATTTGCATAATTCTGTTTATGCTTTTTTTTTTCTTTCTCTGAATCATCTGTGATGCTTCTTTTTCATCTTCTTTTTTTGTGTCTTCTGCTTGTTTGTTTGTCTGTCTGTGTCTGTCTGTACGTGCTTCCTCTCTTCTCTCTTTCCCCTCCTCCCTCCCTCCTTCCCTCTCCCCCCTCCCCTCTTGTCTCTTTCCCCTCTCCTCTTCCCTCTTCCCCTTCCCCCCTCCTCTCCTCCCGTCTTCCCCCTCCCTCCCTCCCCTCCTCCCTCTTCCCTCCCCTCCCCCCTCTTTCCCCCTCCCGTCCCTCTTCCCTCCCCTCCTCCCTCCTCCCCCCCCCCCCCTTCAAGGCCACAGGCGAGGCTCGGGAGATACAGGTGTCCCTCCAGCTGACACAAGTGCCCGACACACCTGTTTTGGGCGAGTGTCAGTCCCTCGTTCGAGTCTCTACCACGAGTTGTTTTAGTTTTTTTTCTTTCATTCTCTTTCTCTTTCTCTCAGCTTTCTTTTCTCTTTATTTTTGTATTTTTTTTAGTTATTTCATTTTGTGTCTTGTGCGTTTGTTTGTTTGTTTGTATGTGCTTCTCTCTGTCTCTCTTAATTTCTTTCCCTTCCTCTCTCTTTATCTATGTCTGTCTGTCTGTCTGTCTCTCTGTCTGTCTCGCTCTCTCTCTTTCTCTCTCTCTCTCTCTCTCTCTCTCTCTCTCTCTCTCTCTCTCTCTCTCTCTCTCTCTCTCTCTCTCTCTCTCTCTCTCTCTCTATCTCTCTCTCTCTGTCTCTCTCTCTCTGTCTCTCTCTCTCTCTCTCTCCATCTATTTATCTATCTATCTGTTTCTTTCTCTTCCTTTTCTTCTATCTTTCTCGTTATTATCATTGCATAGTTTCTCTCTATATATGTATCCATATTTTTCGTTTCTTTTCCATCTTTCTCGTTCTCTCTCTCTCCCTATCTTTCTCATAATTACTTTACTCACTATTTGCTTCAAAGTCAAATACAACTTCAATCATTGTTATTTTCCTATTATCATAAGTATAAAAAAATTGTGATCTTTTATCAGTATCAATAAAACTGATTTGTTGCCCAAGTCTGATGGTAAGAACAATGATGGGCATCGCAATTTTAACGAAATGGAGGAAGAATAACAATAGAGAAGAATAACACGCACCAAAGAACACACGCACATATCACAGGCAACGACAACAAAAATAAAATTATAATTAAAAAGTTTTAAAAAATACAAGTATTCTATTCTTTACTGATTTCCATTTCTGTCTGTCTGTCTGGCTCGGTCTCTCTCTCTCTCTCTCTCTCTCTCTCTCTCTCTCTCTCTCTCTCTCTCTCTCTCTCTCTCTCTCTCTCTCTCTCCATCTCTCTCTCTCTCTCTCTCTCTCCTCTCTCTCTCTCCCTCGTCTCTCTCTCTCTCTCTCTCTCTCTCTCTCTCTCTCTCTCTCTTCTCTCTCTCTCTCTCTCTTCCTTATTTCTCCAACATCCTTCTTTCCCTCCCTCTCCAACACCTTCCCTTCTCCCTTTTTCCCTCCTCCCTCTGTCTCTCCCATCCCTCCCCCTCTCCCCCTCCGCTTCCGTCCCCCTCTCTCTCCCTTCCTCTCCCCTTCCTTCCTTGCCCTCTCTCCCTTCTCCTCTCTCTCCTTCCCTCTCTCCCTTCTCCTCTCTCTCCTTCCCTCTCTCCCTTCTCCTCTCTCTCCTTCCCTCTCTCCCTTCTCCTCTCTCTCCTTCCCTCCCTGTCTCTCCTTCCCGCTAAGAATTCCTTCTGGCTCCTCTTCCCTCGTAACTCAAGTCCGCCATCTAAGTTTCAACACTAACATAAAGCAGTCTCTGTCTCCTTTACTATGATAACTACAAACTGACCCTTCTGTCCTTAAGGCGTTAAGTGTGGTGACGCGCACTTAACACCGCGTGCTTAATTGGTGCGTTATTTATAAGTGTTGTAAGTGTTGCAAGTGTTGTAAGTGTGTCCTCTGGTTTTATGATTAGGTCTTTGATGAAGTTTGGTTGGATCTGTTTGTTCTTTCTCCCTCAGTGCCCCCGGCCGGTTTCGCCGCACTCCCCGCTTTCTCCGCCTCGCGTGGCGCAGCCGACGGCCATCAGGGCGCCTTGGGGCGACGCACGAGGCGCCATGACCCTGCCGAAGACGTGCGCGTAAGCCTGTCCGCACTGAAAGCCCGGGCCAGCGTCATACAGTCCGGACAGACCGGCAAGCAGGATCGGTCAGCCGGGCGTACTAGAATAGCAGCCGCCAAGCACCGGCCGCAGACCAGCAGCGCCCAGAACCCACGGATCAGACGACTCCTGGAAACGACACATGACACTGAAGCATACATCCCGACATAATACATACCGCGATACTCCTCTCCTCCTCCTCCTCCTCCTCCTCCTCCTCCTCCTCCTCCTCCTCCCCTTAACCCCCTCCTCCTCCCCTTAACCCCCTCCTCCTCCCCTTAACCCCCTCCTCCTCCCCTTAACCCCCTCCTCCTCCCCTCCTCCTCCCCCTCCTCCTCCTCCCCCCACCACACACGTCTCGCGCCCAAAACTTTCCCACACTTTGAGTGGTTTCAATTCCTCGAAAGTAACACATAAAACTTTCTTTATAATGTTCTTTTCATTCTGCCCTTGATGTATGATACATATAAATGCATCATGCAAGTGATTTGAGACAAGAGCTGGTTTATTTCATTTTCTCTATATTTTGTCGTTATTTCTGTCTGTGTCTGCTTCTCTTTCTCTTTCTCTTTTTTCTTTTTTCTCCTTCTTCTTTTCTCTCTTTCATCTCTCTCTCTCTCTCTCTCTCTCTCTCTCTCTCTCTCTCTCTCTCTCTCTCTCTCTCTCTCTCTCTCTCTCTCTCTCTCTCTCTTCTCTCTCCCTCTCTCTCTCTCTCTCTCTCTCTCTCTTTCTTTGTCACTTCTATCTTCCCCCCTCCTCCTTCCCTCCCATCTTTATTCTCCTCTCCCTATCTCCCTCCTTCACCCTCCCCCCTTCCTCCCTCATCCTTTCCCTCCCCCATCCTCCCCTTCCCCCCACCCTCACCCACGCCCACACCCCCCTTTCCCACTTTTTAATTCCAGAGGAAAATTTCGGTCTGTGTCCGCCCAGGTATTTGCATAATTCTCCCCCACCCCCTTTCCCTCTCTCTCTCTCTCTCTCTCTCTCCTTCCCCCTTCCCCTTCCCCCTTCCCCTCCCCCCCTCCCCCTCCC